AAAAAAAAAAAAAAAAAAAAAATCTGACCTTGCATGCTGTCTCCCCACATTGTCTCCCTGTCTGAATTTTTGGGTTTGTGTTTTCTTTCTTTTTTTTTTAAACCTGTTTGGTGCTGCCAATCAACCGAGGGTCTGTGAGTGGCAGCATGGGATCAGGCAGCAGGGTTTTCCCCACCCCTTGCCTTGGTTCCTTTGCAGGATTGAGCCATGTGGCCATGGGGGAAGGGGACAAGCTGTATCCCAATGTGCATAGGGTAAGGGTCCCTGCTTGCACATCTAGGTTGTGAGCCAAGCTGTGCTGAGGAGAAGAGGCCTGAACATGGAAGGGAACTGGTCCCCAAAAGTTTCCAGTTGCCTTTCCTCTTCCCTCTTTTGTCAGCAGATCAGTTTGTGGTTTCTGTACCTGCAAAAGCTTCAGGAATTATTAACAAAAGAAAAAAAATATATATATTTTTCCCAAGGAATGGGGTGGGGACAGTGGAAAGGCTGCTGGGAAATAAGTCCCCTGGGAGAGGGGGCACAGCCACGATGCTAAAATATCTCAGGCTTCTGAATGGCTGGATTTTCCTAGGATCCTCAGATCCATAGGCCTCAGACCCTCAGATCTGCCTCAGGGCCTGGTGGGGAAATTGAGGCTCATACAAGGCAATGGAATTCTGAGTTGTTGGGGCTAAGTCTGACCCCCTCTCTATGCTAATCCCCCAGCCCCACTGTGGCTTTCAATAGGTTTTTTTTTGAGACGGAGTCTCGCTCTATCACCCAGGTTGGAGTACAGTGGTGCAATCCCAGCTCACTGCAACCTCTGCCTCCTAGGTTCAAGCAATTCTCCTGCTTCAGCCTCCTGAGTAGCTGAGACTACAGGCGTGCACCACCATGCCCAGCTCATTTTTGTATTTTTAGTAGAGGCCAGGTTTCCCCATGTTGGCCAGGCTGGTCTCGAACTCCTGATGTTAGGTGATCTGCCTGCCTGAGCCTCCCAAAGTGCTGGGATTAGAGGCGTGAGCCACCATGCCTGGCCCCTCAGTAGGTTTTAAGGAGCCCCCAGCCCTCCTTCTCCCCTTCTGGGCCTGATCAGCTATACTGCTTCATCACCCCCAGCCACACACCCCACCAAGTACTGCACAGGGACCCCCATTTCGGGGGTCCTGTACCATGAAATAATGTGAAATACCGACTGTGGACCAAACATAATAAAACCGCTGCTTTTAAGATAAAAAAAAATCTGAGTAAGCTGATTTTTCTATGTATCAAAGTTAACTGATAACTGAGAAGTCACTTGGAAATTAATAGCTTTAAATTTAATCCAGCTAGTTCACAATTTTACCAACATAAATACTATTATGAATAATTTATGAGAACTCTTATGAGAATTAAATTCCCAAGAATAAGAAACAGTTTACTAGTGGACTTAATACTAGTTTTACAGCAATAAAAGTTATTACTGCATTCATCTTCATGTTTTTCTCTATTTCATATTTGGGAAATATTTTCTATTTGTCCAAAGTCTCAGAATCAAAGAGAGAGCATATTTTCTATAATAGCCTGTCTTTTTATCCACTTACTTTCCAAGAGATGCACATTCAATCATTATTCATGCAAGATTTTGAATACACACACTGGCAACATAAAACTATTAAATGAATTTTCAGACTAGACAAACAATTATCCTTTACAATAGTGAATACTAAAATGTGGGACTATGTAAAGATACCTATTCTTCCCTTAAGGTATATGTTTATTTTATTTTTTTGAGACTGAGTCTCGCTCTATTGTCCAGGTTGAAGAGCAGTGGCGCAGTCTCGGCTTACTGCAACCTCCTCCTCCTGGGTTTAAGTGATTCTCATGCCTCAGACTCCCATGTAGTGGGGATTACAAGTGCCCGCCACAACGCTCTGCTAATTTTTGTATTTTTAGTAGAGATGGGGTTTCACAACATTGGCCAGGCTGGTCTCAAACTCCTGACCTCAAGTGATCTGCCCGCCTTGGCCTCCCAAAGTGCTGGGATTATAGGCATGAGCCACCAAGCCCAGCCAAGTTACACATTTAATATAATCCCAATCAAATTTCCTACAGAACTGGATTAAAACTAGATTCAGTAATTCTGAAATTCATTCAAAGAATAAACACTTGAGAATAGCAAAGAATAATTTAGAAGAAGAGTGAACGTGGTCTTGCCTAAATAGACATATATCACATATTCTAGGATTATATTAAATGAAAATAGCATCGAAACACAGAAGCACAGAGATTCTTAGGAGAAAGGTGCAGACACAGACCCGACAGAATCAAGATTCTAATACATGATAAAAATGGCGTTTCAAGAGCCGGGCGCGGTGGCTCACGCCTATAATCCCAGCACTTTGGGAGGCTGAGGCGGGTGGATCACGAGGTCAAGAGATGGAGACCATCCTGGTCAA